GCCACCACAAATCACTTTCTACGTCATTACTACGTCACCAACACTTGCATTTAAGCCCCATCATTTTATAATTATTAAAAAAAATTAAAACTATGTAAAAATATAATTAGTATGTATCGTTATATATCGGAATGGCTTGTTCTTAACGACGCTTTAATTTAATTCCCTGAGAAGCAGACGTAAAGAAAACAAGATATAAATAGATCCCGCGTGCTGGGACTCTGGAATCTAAGTTATTATAATCAGCCCCGAGGATTGGCATTTTTAACCCTAGGGTTCCCACACGTTGGGTGAGGCGATACTCGTCCGTTTCCGTGTAACAATAGCGTGTGTGGGGTGCGGAGGGTGGGGTTTTTAAAAAAATACATTTTTTTTTAGGTAAAGACAAACAGCGCCCCCTGCCTACCACCCCCCCCCCTAGCGTCATTCACAAAACAGAAAGAGATGTCGACTGTATACTGTGTTACTACACCAGAGTGGATCAGACTCCGACTTGAGCCGTGTGTAGTCTATAGGGTGGCTAATAGGAACATGACAAGCTCGCTTTATGACTTTCTATGTCGTTATTTACATTACATATATAAGAAGGGACGGGGTTGTCTAGCGGTAGAGAGCTAGACTGCTAACTCGAAAGTCTCGAGTTCGAATCCGGGTAGTCAGCTTAGTACTACCACACTATCCCTTCATATGCCGAGGTCACAGAAACAGGTGAGCTCTACTTCACTTGTCCCGTAGACCGTCAAGTTTGAAAGATTTACTAAATACTACTTACATATATATGAAATCCTTTAAGGAGTCTGTATTTTTATATTCATTAAATCGTCGCCTCTACATTTTATCATTGTCTTAACCCTTTCTACGCCTCTACATTTTATCATTGTCTTAACCCTTTCCTCGCCTCTACATTTTATCATTGTCTTAACCCTTTCCTCGCCTCTACATTTTATCATTGTCTTAACCCTTTCCTCGCCTCTACATTTTATCATTGTCTTAACCATTTCCACGCCTCTACACTATATCATTGTCTTAACCCTTTCCTCGCCTCTACATTATATCATTGTCTTAACCCTTTCCTCGCCTCTACATTATATCATTGTCTTAACCCTTTCCTCGCCTCTACCGATTACCGTTTGTTTACAAATGGCCGCGCTGATTTCGTGGTGTTTTCATTAACAACATTGATCATTAATTAACCTGTCCTGCTTGATTACTGCGCCAACCTTATTGTGGGCTAAAAATAGCGTCTTATAAAGACGAATGGTGTTATTTTTAAACAATACAACAACACGGAACCGATAGGTAAACAGCTAGTTAAGCAGATAATTAAACAGGTAATTAATCAGATTGTAATCAAAGTAAAAATTAAATCACTCGCAAGGTCGGGCTTCTGATATGTATAGACTATTTAGACAGCTTTGTTAGACGGTTTGTTGGACGGGTGGACGGGTTTGTTGGACGGGTTTGTTGGACGGGTGGACGTGTTTGTTGAACGGGTTTGTTGGACGGGTGGACGGGTTTGTTGGACGGGTGGACGGGTTTGTTGGACGGGTTTGTTGGACGAGTATGTTGGATGGGTGGACGGGTGGACGGGTTTGTTGGACGGGTTTGTTGGACGGGTTTGTTGGACGAGTATGTTGGACAGGTGGACGGGTGGACGGGTTTGTTGGACGGGTTTGTTGGACGGGTTTGTTAGATGGGTTTGTTGGACGGGTTTGTTGGATGGGTTTGTAGGACGAGCATGTAAAACGTTTGTAGTTCGAGCCTCTAGGACGAGCCTCTAACGAACCTTTAGGACGAGCTATGACGAACCTCTCAGATTAGCCTCCAGGGCGAAGAGTCTAGGACGAGCCTCTAGGGCGAATCTCTAAGACGAACCTTTCGAGTAAAACCAACGCCCCCTGTGGCGCAAGGACCGGGCGCCTTATCAAAACGGCATCGCCCCGGCGATAGCGGGTCTCTCGGTGTTAAGGAATGCTGTACAGTTGGGAGGGGAGGGTTGGGGGGGGTAGATATTCAGGGTGTTAAAACATCTTCGCTAACGTGTAACTACAATACAGAACTTTCTTCTCCGCCCGTGTCCATTGCGATACACTGTAGACTACACTGTGATAACTGGGTGATGTTTTCATTTTTTTTTCATTTTTTTTCTATGAGCAAACTTCAATAATAAGGAAGGGGGGGGGGGGGGATGTGTGTGTGTGCAGCGTATAATTATTTGAGCGGTCTAGAATCCACGCTTTTCGCATCTAGAATTTTCATTCAGTAATCAATTTTTAAACATGTTAATGAGATCGAAGCTTTTCTGTTCTCGCGAAATCTCGTCAGTAGAGGCAGACAGACACGTGAAGACACCAACGGTGCCAATGAGCGAAGTAAGAAGGAGAGCGATTGGTTGGGGCAGCGTGCAGTACCATCATTGTTTACTTTTTATGTTAATAAGTTTTTCAATCCACAAAAACTATATCTAGAATTTTTGCTATTTAAAAAAAAACAAGATGTAAAATGACTCGTTTGTTTATAAATGACTCGTTTGTTTATTGTTAAATTTGAGAAGCAAATCATCCCAGGCTTGCAGGTTCATGAAGTGGGGTGGGCGTCAAATTTATTAGATAACGGTGCCGCGCATGCGCAGTAAGGCGAGATGAAATGGGTGTGGCTAATTATCTAAACCTGCTCACAACTTGGAGGTGATTAGAGGTGTTTTGTTTCTTCCACTGGCGTCGGTTTTCCCACCTCCACACTACTGCAACACTACCACATACGATACTACAACACTACCAAATACAATACTATAAAACTACCACATCTAATACTGCAACACTACCACATACAATGCTACAACACTACCACATACAATACTACAACACTACCACATACAATACTACAACACTACCACACTACTACAACACTAACACATCTAATATTACAAAACTACAACACTACTACAATACTACCACATACAATACTATAAAACTACCACATCTAATACTGCAACACTACCACATACAATGCTACAACACTACCACATACAATACTACAACACTACCACATACAATACTATAACACTACCACATACAATACTGCAACACTACCACATACAATGCTACAACACTACCACATACAATACTACAACACTACCACATACAATACTACAACACTACCACATACAATACTACAACACTACCACACTACTACAACACTACCACATACAATACTGCCACACTACTCTTATACAACACTACAAAACTACAATTCTACCATACTACAATACTACAACACTATCTCAAAATAACACTCCCACACTACACTATTACAACACTACCACAAAACAACACTACCACACTACACTATTACAGCACTACCATACTACAATACTCTGCCATTCTACAACACTACCACAATACATCATTACCAGGGTTTACTGCAGTAGTTGTACACACTTCTCACAGGATGAGTATCTCACTACCACATCTTACTGCAGTAGTTGTACAGTAACCATTCATTGTTAATTTAATTACTTTAAAGAGAACAATTCCTCAATCTGCTTCAGCATCAACTTACTTTTGCGAGCCACTTACTTCAGTAACCAACTTACTGTTACTATTCACGGTTTTTATCTGAATCACCAAACATAAATAATATCACAAAAATGCATTATTTCTTTTGTTTAGTATTTTAAAAGGTAGTTGACTAAAGAAAGAACAATCACTCTTGACTAAGTTTATAACCTACATGGTTGCCTCCCTTTCATAATTCTGATTGAATCTCAGCGTAACCAGCCTCTAGTTGTAGGTGGCAAATTTATCTAAAGGGGAGGCAACTCACCCTTTTCCCTTGTTTATTTGGTGTTTGGCTTGTATTGCCGTCGAATAAACGAAAACAGAAAAAAAACCAAGACAAACTGGTCGGGCGTTGAAATAAAACCCAGGGCAGGGGGGGATAGGGTGCGAGCGCCCCCCCCCCCCCCCCCCCGCGCTTCCCCTCCCCAGGAGAAGTAAGTCGGCGGTGTATCTTAAATCAGTGTTTATGTGCGGCATTGTATCTGCGGGAAGGCTTACAGATGAGTTAGATAATGTATCTATGTAGGCAGAGCCTTGTAATGACTGAAGGGGGGGGGGGGGTCGGGTGTGGGGCGCGGGGTGCACTCCGGGCTGGTGGCGGCTCCACGTTGTCCTGATACTAATGGAATTAACACGACAGCTAAAAACGCGATTGGGTTTCAACGAAATATCTATTAACAGTTGCTCGCGAACATAATTTTTAGATTTGTTGCCTGTAGCGGTGGGAGGGGGGGGAGGGAGGGGGAAGGGCGGCTGTTTCTTTCCGTCCAGGAGCCAGAGAAACCTACCCGTTTCTTATCGGCTTCTGTATGGGTGTTCTACGTGAAGATAGTAATGCCTTTTCCAAGTCTCACCCCCCCCCCCACCTCGTCAGACATGAAGAATTAATTATAGCAAAAGAAAATATCAGAGATGATGAAAAATGAAGACTCATTTCTGTGGGGATATCGCCACAGTCCCCGGGAACGGCCCAGCCCTGTAATAAGTTTGTTTAATAGCTTTTTTTTTCACGCGAAAAACATCTGTCATTATTTGACTTTAATTACGTTTGGCGGCGTAAAACAAAGATAAATATAAATGTAGGTTGGTGTTGGGGGTGTCAAAACATGGGTCTGGCTGTTGTGACTCACTGGGTCTAGGTTTTTTCTTTCATACACCACCCTGTAGGTCTTGTCATGATATCCTGACCTTTTATTTTACTTCTGTAGGTCCCATCATAATATCCTGACTTTTTACTTTTGTAGGTCCCATCATAATATCCTGACTTTTTACTTTTACATTTGTAGGTCCCATCATATTAATATCCTAACGTTTTTATTTATTTATTTTGACTTTTGTAGGTCCCATCATGAAATCCTGACTTTTCATTTTGTATTCTTGTAGGTCCCATGATGGTACCCTGACTTTTCCTGAGACTGAAGTCAGGTCATGTCAACCACCATGGATTTTTCACCCCTGAAAATGGAGACGCCCTCGGCCCACTCGAGCCCACACCGCACCCCCATGAAGCCCTCGCCGATGTGCTCGCCCCATGTTGAGCCGCTGGAGCCTTCCTCGTACACCAACGTGGGCTTCAGCCGCGGCGCTGGGGGCTTCTGCGGCACCGGCGCCCGGCCGCTCTACCCGGTCGTCAGGGACGATCTGGACGCCAACACGGAGAAGTCGTCGCCGAGGTTGCCGTCGTCGTCGCCGCAGACTCCGTCACTCGCCAGCGACCTGTCCCGTGCGTACTCCCCAGTCATCGCCAACTTCTTGACGGAGGAGGCGGACGGCAGCAGCGCCGGGAACCCGATAACCGCCACGCGTAGCTCACCCTTCCCGGATCAGGCCAAGTTTCCCGATAATCAGAAGACGCACGGTTACGCCGATCGATGCAGGGACGTAACGGAAATTTCCGATCACGTTTCGACTGCACCGCGCGATCACACGGGCGCGGAAAGCGCGCAGCGATCGCCGAAGAATCAGTCGGGGGTTTGCGATGAGGAGGAGGAGGAGGTCGACTGTGACGACAACGTGGTCGAGATAAAAGACGACGGCGATGAGAGCGAGTCGGAGAAGGACGACGAGCAAGAGGAGGAAGACGAGGACCAGATCGAGTGCGCCGAGTGCGGGACGGTGTTCAGCAACCTGCAGCTCTACATGGACCACACCTGCTACAGGTCGCACGTCACCGCCAAAGGGTTAACGGAGACCGCGAGTCGCCATCAGCCGAGGCCGCACCATTTCCTCCACAACGAAAGCCCCATCAGCGACGCCGAGGTCTTCAAGGGCAAGATCGTCTACAACCCCAACGGCTCGGCTTACATCATAGAAGGCAGCAGTCTGGACAGTGACCTTGACCTACCGTTACTCCCTGACTCCATCATCGTCAAGGAAGGACAATCGGTTTTGTCCGTAGAGCGGTCCATACCCAAGATAGCCAACGCCGTGTTTTTCTCTAAACCGGATGCCGGACACGGCTCCTCCCGCGCCCCTTGTGATCCTGAGCCGGCCGACAAGCCCAGCCCAGCCATGCATAGCTACAACGTGTACGACCTGCGACACTCGGAGATAGACGATCTGCTCCAGCGGTTCCCGGCCTGTAAGTCGCAGCGGCACCACGTCAAACCTATACTCATGTGTTTCATTTGTAAACTTTCCTTCGGGAACCCCAAATCCTTCCTGCGCCACTGCATGTACGACCACGCGATGAGTTTACACGAAGATGAAAAAACCTTGCTGTGTCGGCCGACGGCGTCGGCGCTCATCCACACCTACGGCAAGGAAAAACAACCGACAATCTCAGTATTACAGCCCATCCCCGGCTTCGACAGCCGGACCTCGGAGCTGCGGAAAGACCCGTTTTTTTCTCCGGCTCCTGAGTCCATGAAACCAACTAACAATAACAATTTCTTGGACTCCAGGAAGTCGAGCATGGAGGAAAGAAACTCTTGTGCGCCACACGTCAGGGATTCTAAAACTACGAAGGAAAACAGCCCCGGTGCAGACCTGCAAGACACCGAACATAAAGAAGACTCAGGTATATTTCAGCGGTCTACAGCTCACCTAGGGGCTCACCACTCGCACAAGATGGACAACTTCTTGACCACATCTCAGGTATCCGGCAGTGATTTCTTACCCAGCAACCATTTTCTCTACACCTCCCAGGGATCCGTCATGGACCAGCCCTCCATGCGACAGCGGTCATCGCCCTCGGTACTGCCCTCGCCGCAGGGTAACTCTGGATCCCCTTCCGGTTCCGACTCGTTTTATCAATCATCGTCAACGCCATCGACGTCCTTGCCCAATCTCCTGCTTCCGTCTAGCACTTCCTCTGGCATGCATTTCGCCATGTCCTCGACTTCCAACGCTCTACAGTCGCTGGGTCTAAACATGCCGAGTTTCTTTGGATCGTGCGATGAGCACCCGCAGGGTCGAGCGCAGGGGGTGGAGTGTCCGAAATGTGATATGGTGCTCAGCTCCACCCAGTCGCTTGGTGGACACATGACCATGACCCACTCCAGGAACTCTTGCAAAACCTTGAAGTGTCCCAAGTGTAACTGGCATTACAAGTACCAGGAGACTCTGGAGATCCACATGAAGGAAAAGCACCCGGACAGCGACGCCCAGTGTGTCTACTGCCTGACCAACCAGTCCCACCCCCGACTGGCCCGGGGCGAGTCCTACTCCTGCGGGTACAAGCCCTACCGCTGTGAAGTCTGCAACTACTCCACGACAACCAAAGGCAACCTCAGCATCCACATGCAGTCGGACAAGCACATCAACAACATGCAAGATCTGGCAAACGGCGGCACGGAAATGAAAATGCAGCCGCCCCCTTCCCCCGCGCCGCAGGCGCTACCCCCTACCGCCAGCACCCCCGCCCCGCATAATTCGTCGCCCTACCCTCAGGAAGAGTCCCAGTACAAAAAACTCAAACAGAAACAATCGTTCCGGTGTGACGTGTGCAGCTACGAGACTTCCGTGGCCCGGAATTTGAGGATCCACATGACGAGCGAGAAGCACACCCACAACATGCTGGTCATGTCCCAGAGCATCAGCCACCTCCACCAGGACATGACCCTGCACCAGATCAACCAGATGAACAAACTCCTCGCCCTCAACCAGCAGGAACAGGCCGCCAGGTTTGCCGCCCTGAGCCCTCACCTGCCCGGCAACATGTTCTCGTACGAGCAAACCGCCATGCTCATGTCCGCCTCGGCTAACCCCGCCCCCTCAGGTAACTATGAAATTCCGATGAACTTAACAAAAGAAAACGGAATCGATGACAGCTTAGGGCACATATCCAACAAAGACGCAACGAAAATGTTCCAGTGTTGCATCTGCAACAAATACGGGTCCGACAGCGTGGAGAACGTCCACAACCACATCCAGTACGACAGGACCAAAGCGGTCCCGGCAGACGCCCACGTCACCTTCAGCAACGGCGCCTACCACTGCAACCTGTGCACCTACAAGACGCACCTGAAGGCCAACTTTCAGCTCCATTGCAAGACGGACAAGCACCTGCAGAAGCTGCAGCTGGTCAACCACATCCAGGAGGGCGGGGCCGAGAACGAGTGGCGGCTGACGGTCTCCGGCTCGCCCATGCAGATCTCATGCAACGCCTGCAGCTTCTTCGCCAACTCCACCCACAAGATGCAGCTGCACCTCAGCACCCTACAGCACGAGTCCTGCGCGCAGCTGTTCCGCCACCTCCAGCTCCTGGACCACGCCACCCCGGCCTCACCCCCGGGGAAACTCCGCTACTACCACTGCACCCTATGCGCGGCCAACGTCCACACGAAACAGCGTCTCATCCTGCACTCGCGCTCCCCCCATCACGTGAGGAAAGAGCAGGCCCTACCCCAGGGGCGTCTGTCCATCTTCGACGTGTTCCTGATCAAAGAGATCTCGGAAGGAGCCACTGTGGAATTTGAAGATGCCGGTTAGTAAATATAAACATTAGCCTAGTTCCTTCCCTTTGTTTCTTCTATTACCTCCCTTGTGTTTATCTTCACTGCCTATGTTTAATCCGTTTCTATCCTTTCAATTCTTCTTCCCCCCTTGTTGCCCCTACAAACCTCCCCATCATTGTCAACAACTTGATTAGCTCGTCTTTGAGCTGAATCCCCTCTTTGTTACAAGTCCATCAGAGATTGTTTTATTTATGTGTTTCCTCCCTTTGACAAGCTGCAAACAAGACATCAATACACCCACCCGGCGTCTTGCCTTACCTTGTTCGTTTGTCTCGTACACAGTCTGACGGTGCTGCGCCATCAACCCGATCGCTTACAGCACAGCAACACTGTTCACCTTAAACTTCTATATTAATAACACTGAGCTTCCAACACGGAGCTGTCTATCTAGTTTCATTATGGTTTTTTTTTTTTTTATATTAAATTTATTTCAAAACACATCTACTTTTTAATCTACTGTTTGGTCTAGTTTAAATCTACTTACCTGTCTACTTTACACTGTGGTTTGACACAAATAAAAGTATTTTCTATTTTATAATTTATTCAAATAACAAAAAATATTTCCTACCCCCCCCCCCTTTCCCTAACCCCAAAGGCCGAATGGCTGGCGTATACCCCACCTTTCCCGGCACACCATTTAATCAAATCGGCGGGTGACGTCCAAATCTCTAGCGTAGGATTTTTTTTCTATAGAATATATTTTAATTTAATAACGTCCCTTTGTTGCCTACTGAATAGCTTAGAATAGATGGGTGCCCGGAATTATACGTGGAATAGATGGGTGCTAAAAACTGATGAATATCTGCCTAAAGATATTTCGGTTATAGTTCGGCGGTCTAAGTTAACCGGCTAATATCTGAGTGGTCTAAAATATTTCGGGAAACTGTAGGCTACTTAGGATATTAGATGGGTGCCTGCTGTATTAGAGAATAGTTGACTGTCCTGTGTGTTAGATGACTATCCTGTATATGAGATGGGTATCTTGTGTATTAGATAACTGCCCTGTATATCATTAAAAACTCTAAAACCCCGAGCATGTTAGAACCGACCTGTTGCCCAGGAATTAGTTTTATATTATTACAACATGACCCGCGCACCGTTTCGTCCACCTGACAATACGATATAATAAAACGTGTCCAAAGGCGTTGAAGAGTATGAGTGATGAGTTGGAGGGAGGGGGGTGAGAGGGTGGGGTGAGCTCCTTGTATTATGTGGTAGTGTGAAAGAAAAGAATATTAAAGTTGAATAAGAGCGGGTTCTCCCTCTTGTTTCAAAGAGTTGTCGTCCCCCTGACCGGGTGCTTTTGAAAAACACAGCCGCGAATGATTTTCATTGTGCTACTGCTAGCGTTACTACCTGCAAGCTTTAGGGATCTTTTTTGTTACCTGGTTACGGGGTGGGGTGGGGGGATCTTTCCAAAGGTCAAAGGTTGATCTCTTCACTCTCCCACTTCACGTGAGAGGCGGCTGTGTGTTTCGATGGGGTTAGGATGCCCGGGGGGAGGGGGAGGGATGGGGGTGTTCGGATCTCCAATTCTATTGAGTTTGTCCCCCGCCCCACTTACCTGTTCATTATTCACACAATAAGTTCTAAGATCGACTTTTTGTCGACTTTTTGTCTTCCCTTAGGTCCGTGTAAACATTTGTCGACTTTTTGTCGTATTGATGTCTTCCTTGTGCTCCGTGTATGGTAAACATTTGTTTACAGTTGCCCGTCCGGACAACTTTTTCTCTTGTTATCATCATAGACACCAAACCTGGTGTATGTCTCATATGTATGTCTGCTTATGTGTGTTTTAATTCAATGTGGATGTAATGTATGCAGTCTGATCACATATGTGCTTGCTAGTCTATTGTTTGGGGGGGGGGGGGGGGGGAGGATACAACGTCGATATGTTGGATACAACAAGTCGATATGTTGGATATGTTGGATACAACAAGTCGATATGTTGGATACAACAAGTCGATATGTTGGATACAACAAGTCCATATGTTGGATACAACAAGTCGATATGTTGGATACAACAAGTCGATATGTTGGATACAACAAGTCGATATGTTGGATACAACAAGTCGATATGTTGGATACAACAAGTCCATATGTTGGATACAACAAGTCGGTATGTTGGATACAACAAGGACTTGGTAAAACAAACGTCCAATAACTCTTGCAGCGTCACCTTGATAAACGCTGGAGTTGCTGTCCTTGGCTAATTAGCGTGAGGACCGCGCGGTATTAATTAGACATTTACGAGATAATGAACGTTCTTACTGGCGTCTTTGTAATTAGCCAGAGGCTGGGGTCGCCACCTATCGCCAGCCACGGGCAGGCTTTGCTACTGTGGGTGGGGGTGGAGGGGTCTGGTACTGGTTCCAACACAAGGTAGTGAACCGTCAGCTGAATTGTCTAGTGCAGTGGTTCTCAACCTTTGTGAAGGTACCGATCCCCAACCTGTTTCACAGAGCCCTGCTTAATAGTTCTAGTGCTCGCACTGATTATAATCCTATCGTGAATCAAATGACCTCCGCCGAACCCCTGAGACTGACTCACCGAACCTTTGGGGTTCGATCAAATCCAGGTTAAGAACCACTGGTATGGTTCATGGGTGGGGAAGGGGGAAACTGTTTTTGTACCATATATACTCTAACTCCCCTTGAAGCAGATGCTCGTTTTATGCTCATTGCATAAACTTTCGCCGAGCATTTTTATTTCAAAGGAAGTTCGTCTTCCCCCGGTGCGACTTGGTTTCATTAAAGAAATCTTTATTTGTCGTTTGATTATTCAAAAACCTCTATCGTGCTGTCCAATGGAAATGTTTAAATGGGGAAAAAGTGTTACAAATGCACAAATTACCTTGAATTAAAACAGGGGTTGGAATTATGAATTTTAAATTTGATAATAAGTAGATTAACCTTTTTAAAATCATTATTATTTTTTAAGCTTTCATTATTTCTTTAAAAAAAAATTGCATAAATATTTCTAAATATTAAACGAAAAAAAAATAAGTCTCGCCCAGGCAATGAGTTTTTCTTTAGTATAAGAATTTTAACTTGTTTGTTCCCCTTTGCTCGGTACGACTTCTCGCGGTTTTTTCCCCTATGAGCGTGTGACGTTTACGACAGTAGCAAGTCTTGGTTCACAACCCAACTAGTGATTTCACGTGTCGCACTGTAATCCACAGATGTGTATCATTACTTCCCCTGAACTGTGTGCTAACGCTGAGCACTGTGATTTCTCGTTTAATTAGCACTCTGTGTGCTAACGCTGGGCACTGTTGTTTCTCGTTTAATTAGCACTCTGTGTGCTAACGCTAAGCACTGGTTTGGTTTCTCGTTTAATTAGCACTCTGTGTGCTAAAACTGGCACTGTTGTTTCTCGTTTAATTAGCACTCTGTGTGCTAACGCTGGGCACTGTGGTTTCTCGTTTAATTAGCACTCTGTGTGCTAACGCTAAGCACTGGTTTGGTTTCTCGTTTAATTAGCACTCTGTGTGCTAACGCTGGGCACTGTGGTTTCTCGTTTAATTAGCACTCTGTGTGCTAACGCTAAGCACTGTTGTTTCTCGTTTAATTAGCACTCTGTGTACTAACGCTAAGCACAGTGCTTTCTCTTTGAATGTGCTTAACTCGCCAGAAATATCCATTGTTTGTTATTGTTCTTTATGATGGTGTTTTGTTTGGCAGAGAAGGAAATGCGAACCTTTTAACATTTATATTAACTATATTTGGTTCATTTACGTCATTTTGGTTTAAATTTTAAAGTAGCATACAAGGAATCATATGAGTGTCAGCTTGTATCCACCTCCAGCCATTACAAAATTGTTAATATTTCCTCAGCCCACCGTCCATCATATTAAAAAAAAATTTCTGACTACTCATCCAACCAATCCTAACTGACAAATATATTACTAAACTAAAAGTAAGTGTTATATAACAGCTCACACCACTATACCATATATCACAATACAACGATCAACCACCACACCCCCGTTTGTATTATGTAACTTGTACAATCACTTATGACGCACTTATACAATGTTTTTATTTACCCTTTTTTTTCAAAGCTTACTCTTACAGTTTATTATTAAAATTGAAGTTTATGGGGGGGGGGGGGGGGCGTATTACGTTTTATGCTTTGCGTGTCAACCAACAGATATCTACGAAGTAGAAGGTCTACTTGACAACACAAAAAAAAACAACCTGTAAATAATGTGTTGTTTTCTTTACACACCAGTTGAGTGGGGCCACACATTTCTTACACGAAAATAGCAAAAACAAAATTAACCATTTGTACCCCCGCGTGATTAAAAGAAACGAGTGGATAAAAATATCCATCCTATCCATTCGGAAATGTATGCGACTTGGTAGAGATGGGGGAGGGTGGTGGGGGGGGGGGGGAATAACCCCTCGCACTTCAGGCTCGATGTGTTGTTTTTTTATGAACCACCATCAGACGGCCGAGAAATGTCCGCGGCCGCTAGTTAGTTCTAGCTCCATGTTCTGTGTGATTTGGACAGGGGAGGAAGGGTGGAGAATTTTTGTCTTTAAAAAAAAAAAATACACCCCTCCCCTCTCCCCTACCCCCCTTTTCTAGCGACTGCCCCGCGCTCTACTCGCCGGGTAGGGGGTAGATAAGGGGAGACAACGTTTTAAAGTAGAGAAAAAAAAATCCCCGAGAAAGGGGAGAGAAGCAAAGCAGCGCCGCTGATCAGAGTAATGAGTAATCCTGAGAAAGTTTGGGTAATGAGGACACAGCACCAATAAGAAGCGAGGCGAGATTCGGAAGCTTTGTTTGTCTGCGCTATCATTTCGGACAGACCCAGAGAATCGCTCGGCTAAGAAGGGGGCCAATGAGGCGTTTCTCTCCCCTCCGTTTTTTTTTTAATTTGATATTCTCGGCTTCCATTTTTCCTTAGCATCACTGTGTGTAGGGCTGGCGGAGTTGTGTTTTTATTCAGGCTGTTGTGTGTTTTTA